CCCAAATAATATCCTCAAGACCCGCCTCCATCACTCCGTCTGAACCTACCCAGTCAGAGTCCAAGCCTTCCCGAATTTGAGCGATTTTATCGTGCAGATATTGTGCAAAATCCTCAGCTCGACCTTGTAAGGGGTCTTCCCATGCTCCCAGGTGGAGGAGGGAGCGAGTCACCCTAAACAAGGCAACTGGGCGATTATCTGCCGATGCAATAATAGCGGAAAAATAGTTATATTTTGCCGCTGCTATCGCCACTACGTAGGTCTTAATATAGGACCTCACCAGTGTTCGGTCAGATTCAGAACGACTGGCTCTCCAACTACTCTCCAGGCGTCTTTTCTGGTGCTTCATTTCCCTCAGCTCCTCGGAAAACCAAGGAGCTGGGCGACTTCGACGCCAGGTTAGAGGCCGCAAAGGCACAACCTAATCCAAAGCACCAGCGACCATCCTATCCCAGGTTGCCACCAGGTCTTCAATCGAGTTGTGAGCTAGAGTCTCAGGAAATGGCCCAAGCTCCATCAGAAATCTATCAGGATCCATCAAGCGCCTGGGGCGGAACCACTTAATCGGTTCTGCCTCCCTGCAGTGGGGTGTAACAGACAGAAAGTCAAGCCTAAGGAAAGAATGGTCTGACCATGACAAGGGTTCGATGACTATATCCCCTATATCTAGACCATTCAACCACTGGTCAGATACAAAAACCAAGTCCAGAGTGTGTCCCCCCATGTGAGTAGGGCCATGAACTAACTGGATCAGGTCCATGGCCGTCATGGAAGCCAAGAACTCCCGAGCTACCTCAGACTTTTCACCGATGGACAGCAGGTTGAAATCTCCCATGACCAGAAGCCTAGGAATCTCAACCGCCACCCCGGCTATTACGTTGAGGAGCTCAGGCAGGGCTGCTGCCACGTGGCAGGGAGCCAAGTACATAATCAGCAGGCCCATCTGTAACCCATGACCCCATTTCACGAGGAGGGACTCACATCCGGCTGTCTGAGAAACAGTAGTCTCCCTAGGATCAAGACTCTCCTTTATAATAACCGCCACCCCTCCACCCCTACCCTGTGCCCTTGGCTGATGGAATGCGCGGAAACCTGGTGGGCACATCTCTACAAGGGGGACCCCCACTTCATGGTGAAGAATTAGGGTGAGAACCCAGCAACTGACCTAGGGAACAGCTCCCTTTATATACCTTGCAGCTGTGGTGGTCAGCCAATCAGCTGAGGGTCAGTTAATTCAAACTGCCCGCCAAACAAACCCATTTACATAACACCCAGGGCTTCGAACCAGTCTAAGCCGAGCAGGCTTGGCAAAGCCCCTTTGACCACGGTTATTTTCAAAGGACCGGAAAACCCCTGAAATTGCATGTGGAATGTTCCACTGCCCACAACGGGGATGCGGTTTCCTTGGTAGACTTTAAGTTGTAACCACTGTGGCCTCAAGTCTTTCTTCCTTTTGCCCAGAATAATGTTCATCATGGTGTTCCACGCAACAATGGTTAGGGATGATCCCGTGTCAATTTCCATCTCGCACTCTGTCCCCTCAATTAATACTGTCACATGGATCTTCTTGGCCGATAAGCTGGTCTGTTGTATATTCGTCTGAAATGCCGCTCTGTCAGCAGCTGGAGATTTCTCCCTGCGGTTGGGTTTCCACGGTCTGGGTTTCCTCTTTTCGGGCATTTTAGAGGCCCCCAGTTGTTGTTTAGCTATAAACGCAGATGGCATATTAGTACGACAGACCCGAGCCAGATGTCCCTTATGGTCACATCTCTGGCACACAGCATCCTTGTATCTGCATGTTGCTCTGGAATGGGGCCCCCCGCACCCTGCACACAAGGGTTGTCTCCATTCTGTGTCAGGATAGGCTCTTTTCTTGCCATCTTGTAGCCAATAGATGTCATTTTCGTCTTCCAATGATTCAATCAGCTTGGTGCTCTCTTGATGCACTGCGGCAGTTTGGCGCTAAGTCGGCACATTTCCCGCTCTTTGGAAAGCAGCGGCTGATTTCTGTAAGTTCTTTGTTGCTCTGGTCTTGTCTAAGGCCGTCTGTAAAGTGAGGGCCAGCTTGGCTAACAACCGCCGTTGTAGGCTAACATCCCTCACCCCACTTATGAGTTGCTTCAACAGCACATCCTCCAGCTCTCAGAACTCACAGTATGCAGCGGCTTTTCTAAGTGCCACTACATAGTGGTTCACAGACTCACCTTCTTCCTGCATTCTGCGGTGAAACTTGCGCCACCGTACAAACTTTGATTGCACTGGGGCATAATGCACCTGTAGTGTGTTCTGTAGCACGGCCCATGGTACCGCTTGAACCACGACTGGTTTGACGAGTGCCTTGGCTGTGTCGAACACATCCATACTGCAATAACTGAGGAACAGTGCTCGCTTGCGGTTATCGGATAGTCCCAGGAAATCGTTTGCCTCCATGAAGCATTCAAACCGATTCATATAGGAGCCCAATATATTGTTGGTGGCTGGGTCGAACGGAGCCGGTCATCATGCTGGCAGAAGGTGATTCTGCAGCACAGTGAGTGATGCCGGTTGTTCCCTACTCCGCTGGGTTTCTGGTCTACGAGTCCTTATTCTTCCAATCCTACCTTCGTCGCCAGTGTTAGATTCGATGATGGAAGAGACAACAGCTCTTTTTTAGTGACAACAGCTCTTTATTAGTAGACCAGTGCAACCCAACAACCTGCTTGTCTGGCAGTGTCCTGTTTATAGAGGGCTGCCAGACAGCTTAACTAATGAGTTTCAAGTAGGACCTGAGTGAAGCCTATGACTCACTCCTTATATGGTCATAACACTTCCTATGATACATAACAAAATTTGTCACCAAAATACTGGAAATGTGATCACATACCAGGCACCTATTACCACTTATGGTGGACATGTAGAAAAGCAAAAGAATATTGACAAAGGTTCCAAATGTGGCTAGAAGAAATGACAGGACAGAAAGTGGAATTCAAATCAGAACTATTTTTATTAGGAATTATAAAATTATAGAGCACTGCACATCAGAATAATTATACACAAGAACAGTTTTTTCCCGAATGCCATCACTCTGCTAAACAAATAATTCCCTCAACACTATCAAACTAGTTACTAAGTCTGCATTACTATTAATCTTCTCATCATTCCTATCACCCATCTCCTACCACTTATGACTGTATGACTGTAACCTTGTTGCTGGTATCCTTAAGATTTATATTGACTGTTTCCTAATATGATTTGATTGCTTATTTGTTCCCTATGACTATCATTAAGTGTTGTAAGTGTTGTACCTTATGATTCTTGACGAATGTATCTTTTCTTTTATGTACACTGAGAGGATATGCACCAAGACAAATTCCTTGTGTGTCCAATCACACTTGGCCAATAAAGAATTCTAGTCTAGTCTAGTCTAAAGAAGGTTTAAGTAAAGAGTTAATATATTTAACACTACATATCATAACAGTTGCAAGAATAGCTTATGCCCAACAATGGAAGAGTGAAAACATACCGAAGGAATGGGAAATAATAAAAGTAATTGAATGTGCAGAATGTGATAGACTGAAGTTAGAACTGAAAAAGAAAGAAGAGACAGAATCTATGAGATTTGGAATAAATTTTATCAATGGTTAGATTTAAGAAATGGAAGTCAGAACAGACAAGAAAGTATAGCCTGAAACAAGATGCAATAATATGTAATATAGTATATATCTGTAAATATGTAAAATAAGTTAAGTATGTATATAGAATTAGTAAGTAGTAATGCATATTGAAGAGATAAGAAACATGGGCGATATTTTGTATATGTTTATATTTTGTATGGCGGAGATGCCGCCAAGACGGTTATACTATGTCCAACTTTTGTTTTAACAATAAAGGTTTTTTTTTAAAAAAAGAGTTCCTCAATCAACTCAATGTCCAATGGATCATTCAGCCCATAGTTCCTCTTCTCAAAGTGTGGGGCACCAGGGCCAAGATTCTATTAGATTGCCCCCACTTAGCAAAAGTAACCACAAGGTTAGGAAAAGCAACAGGCACAGCCAGTGCTTGCATAATCCAAAGCAGAAAGAGTATGACTATTGGAGAAAGATCCTTGGCACAGAAATGACAGAGGGTGGGTGAGCATGTCTGTTTGGGCCATGGAATAGCAGCTTCAGCAATGCTTACCGTCCATCCAATCTCGCATTTGCATCAAGAGATTTCCCGCACCTGTTTCCTGAGCTATTATTCCAGAGGAGACTTGTTTTCCCTTTGCCACACTCCATTTCATAGGCAGAGGATGGGGTTGTCCTGGCAGGGTGTGTCAACACTTTCTCGACCCCAATTTTGATTTTGGGTGTGTGTTTGCTCAGTACATGAGTGTGCATTTCCCTTCCAACTATTTTCCTTAGCCAGTATGCCTGGGTGTGGGGAAAGGCGTGGTATTTATGTCCTGGCTTCACACCTTTCCCGTTCGTTATCTCTTGTATATTTTGAGGTGTGGATCCAATATCTGCATACAAAATCTTGTTTTAGAAGGCAAAAAGCTTGGCAAGGCAATCTTGGGTTTACCTCTGAAGCCTCAGATTTTGTGATTCCTTATATGGTAAAATTAGATCTACTTTTTTCTGGCTCTTTCTGTTTGGGCATAAATCACCTGTTAAGATCTGGATCAAAACCAAGATGTGAGAGGCAAATTCAATCCTTTCTTGTATCATTTTTCCAATTAAAACCACCAACTGATTCTGAAGCAGCTATTCACAACTATGTTTTCATATAAATTGGACCACAGTTCCAGTTGCTCAAGATAATAGGAAGATTGCTATGATAGCCCAAAATATCTAAGAAGCAGAGGGAAAATGGGTCTTGAATAAACTTGAGAAAATATACTAATACAGGATTTCTTCAGAGATAGAAAGAACAAATAAATAAGATATAACCTAAAACATAAATAAATTTGAAGATAGCAGGGGAATCAAAGTTTCATATATAAGAATCTGGGGAGAAAAGCATTTAAAAATACCTAAACATTTCAGTTGTTAAAAAGTTGTTTATTGGAAATTACTGTTCTGTTTGATTTTTTTTAAAACAATACTTCTATTTGCATTTTGTTCTGTTTTAGTGGGGTGAAGATTCAGAGTTCTGCTGAGGTAACTAAGCGTTGAATTGGAATTAGACGAAAATGTACCTCCCAGGCTATCTTCATGAAGGCAATGGAAGATAGATCTTTATATCTTGCCAGGAAAAGTTCCCAGTTTACGTTGCTCATCCCACTGATTAACCTGAAGAATAAATAAGAACCTTAAGGAGGCTTAGGCACAGACACATGATATTGTGGTTCTTGGAACAATAACAACAAAACTAGCAATATTCCTCTCTATGACACTGAAGATCTCAAAATGGCATCTTTTTATTCTCCATGTCTTGCAGATGTCCTTGCTCTCAAATTCCTAGACAGCAAATTCAGCAGTATAGGTAGTCCAAAACCATTCTTTTAGTGATTGTTCAAAATTACAATGGCATTGAAAAACATGATTTATATCCAGTCCTTGAACTTATGACTACGGCAGCATCCCCATGTACACATGATCAAAATTTAGGCAACTGAATTTCGCTTGGCAACTGGCATATATTTATGACAGTTGCAGTATACTGGGGTTATGTGATTGCCATTTGCGACCTTCCCAGCTGGCTTCTGACAAGCAAAGACAATGGAGGAAGCAGGATTCAGTTAATGATGGCATGATTCATTTATTAACTGCAGTGATTCACCCAACTTTGATAAAAAGGTTATGAAACTGGGTGCAACTCACTTAACAACTACCTTGGTGAGCAACAGAAATTCTCGTCCCAATTGTGATCAGATGTCCAGGCTACCTGTATTTGTAGGCTAAATTATTCAGGGTTTACTGAATTAAGGAATGTCGATCAAAGCAATTTGCTATTATCTGTCCATTAATGATAATCTAACATCTACTGTCTGGTGAGTCTTTAAAACAAAAAGATTGATACAGCCAGTGTTTGAAGAAATATTGTAAACAGGGATCACATCCATGCATTATATATAGCAAATCGACTTGATTCACATTTATAGCCTTTTCACAGTAGCAATGTGAACTTTGATGAAATCCAGACCTCCCTTGCTGATAAAAAGAGCTGCTGACTGATGCATTGCTATCCTGTGTGTTTGAAAACTAGCTGGTGTTGTGTGGTTCTGAGAAAAAAAGTAGGACAAGTCCTTTACAATCATGGCTAAGACAAGGCCACATCATAGGCTCTCCTGTTACACTACAATTAACTAATAAAGATAGGCCAGTTGGTCTGAAGCACTGGTGGGTACCTCTTTAAAAATATTTATTAGATTGAAGACCAGTTTACTATTAGAAGTTTCATGGATATTACACATATGTTTAAGGAGTAACAAATCTATGATAAATAATCAAGACTTTTCAGAACAAGGCCATGTTCAGATATAGAAAAATGGTATGGGATAAACGCAGTTATAACTTTTTTTGAAAGGGATGAACAATTATAAGACTTTCCAGAAAGTACATATTTTGCCCCAGGTTCTAACTGAAATGATCCATCACTCCAAAAAAGAAGGAAGGAAGGCACTGATTCTGTAGGAAAACAAGATAATGATTGTTTTTTTTCCCTTCCATAACTGCTGTTTCTACTTACCCAACTGCTAGGACACAAGGATTTGAAAACCTTATGGTACCATTCACACTTCTGCATATCCTTGCCTTTGGTTTTCATAATCTTCAGACAACGGTAATAATCTGCAAGGACAGAGAAGAAGCTGATATCGTCTGATAATTGTTCAACTCTTGAACTAGAAATGGGAAATTCACATTAGAATATTTTCTTCATTTTGATGTTTAGTAGTTGACTTAGGGTCAATGTCTCTCAGGCTAACTACAAGTTTCTTATGAGGATAAGGTGATGGTAGTGTAGATAAATGCAAGAAATAAATAGTGTCATCCATTGTGCTTATTCACAGTTTAATATATAGGTAAGTTGCAACAGGTGCATTGCACAACATCTGGAACTGGGTTCTTTGCAAATGCAATACTGTAAATTGTTGAGCTCTACATCTGAAACAAAGCACAATTTCTTCTTTAATTCCTTACACTAAGTACAGTGATAAGATTATTCCAGTTAGTAGTCTCTTTTTTTGCTAGGTATATAGAGCAAATTCCTGCAGCAGTTGTGTTCCATTATCTGTACTTAAAATATGCTACCGGAATGACAAACTGGACAAGTCAAGAAGACAGACAAGCTTACTTTATATGCCTGCATGGTTCAGAAGCTGTTCAGCAAAAATTATCCTAATCCTTATGGCCACATCTTGTCTTTTACCCACCTATGTAATTCTGGTAGCAGTTACGAGTCTGGTTGGTGAATGGAAAGCGAGGATCAAAAGGAGCTGTGAAAGGGACTTTTCTTTTCTTGGTGTCTAGTATAGCAGCTGAAACACTCTGCATTTCTGAGAAAGTGAAAAGGAGAGAAAGAACAGGAGAGTGAATGTGTATTGGCAAAACATGGAGGAGTCAAATTGATATGCTGCTTGTCCTTTCTCAGAACAAATCAATTTCCCAAAGACAAATCAGCTTCCCAAAGAAGTCCTCATTTCAGAGATTTGGGTAACTAATCTAATTATTCATTGCTACTGAGAAAAAGTATTATAACAATTCCAATGATTTTTATTCCCTTTGTAGACAGTTGAGGGTTTCTGGCTCAGAAATATCTTCTCATTGATTTCTCTTCTCTAAGGATTTGAAAGTTAATAACATCTAATTCTTATCCAAACATAGTCTTCAACCAAATTCAGTTTGGGATTTTAGCCTAGTAGTTTCCTTCTTTTCCAAATTACTTCTTTCAAATTCTTGCTATTGAAATTGCTCTTCATTTCTAACTTGGACAGTTTCCTTTCAATTTATTTCTAATTTGACATGGCTTCATCTCATCATTAATTTTCATCCCAGTTCATGGTAGCTACTCCCAACTACTGCAAGCCAACTTCTTTGAACTGCAGTCCAGTCCTCACTTCTCATAGCCCTGCTGATCCTAATATCTCTAACTCAACATATATCATTTGACAGTTGCAGAGCTGCCTAACGGTTCATTCATCTGGGATAAATTCTTCATTCTGATTTTTCCTTTCCTTTCAGATTAATTTTTGGCAAATTAAATGTAAGAACAAAGAGGATGAAATCAGTTGGGAGATAAAGCACATGAAGGAACCCTTAACCACTGTCTTTGTCTAAATTTCCCTCCTCAAGGGAGGAATTATACAGCTTCCTGTATTGTCAAGAATTCGTAATTAAAAAATTGATATGAAAACATATGTAAACAAGAAATTCCAGAGTGTTTTGGCCATGGATGCTCTGCTGTTTTGTTACAGATCATTTTAATTTTTCCCTGTAGAGCCCAAATCAGATTGAGCTCCTGACCTAGTCAATAATGGTTGATCACAGAAATAGCTAGATAGGATTAATCTCAGAGCTGATTATTACTTCGATAAGAGACCATCAGAAAACCTTATAGTTCTAGATTAGACTGTGAACCCAACATGGTGTCTGCCAGGACTCATTGTTTAAGTGGGGTCATACCCCTCAGTATGAATGTGGTGCTCCTTGACAAAATATCCATCACATTGTGTCCAAATGTCCATCAGGAGCTTACACTGGCTCAATGTCTGATTTTTTTCAACAGCAGCCCTGTCCTTGAATGGCTGAGTGGACTGGACATTAACATTTGAACTACTATATTCAATACTATACCATGTATTTGCCATACGCATATAAATAAAGATTGTGAAGATCCCCTTCCCCCTCCCAATATTACAGAATATGGGAATGGCAAATCAGGTCCATTTTGTTGCCAAGATTGTGACTTGAAGATGGCTTTGCATTTTTTTTTCTGTACAGAACTGTGCACTCCCTCTACTGGCGATATCTCAAATTAATATTACTCTGGATGGAATATTTTTCTCTACTTCCTAACCTGCTTTTTTCCACCTCCAGTTAAAAATATTGGGAAAAATTCCTCTCTCTCCTCCCAATACCCTTATTAATTTATTGTATCAGACTGCTGTGGTGACTTCTAGACCCCTGAGAGAGAAAAAGTGAAGCGGCTTTTATTTGGTCTGATTCAGTAGCTGGAAACTGGTAGGCCTCATCTCAGTTGTAGCCTCAACACAATTTGAAAAGCTCCCTAATCTTAACCCATTGCTTTGCAGCCTTGAATCAAAAAGAATCATGTAAAATATTTAATAGCAGGTTAGATGGAGCTCCTTCCATGGGTTCCTTCAGTCCTCTCCAATCTTGCCTGTTCCTATTCCTGAAACATTATTTCTGACCAAAAGCAAGCCCTTGTCAAAAATATGGGATGGTTATTTTGGAGGGAACCAAAATCTGAGGGAAACGGGCAGAGATGATACATAAATAAATGCTACATAAATAAATCACTCTTAGTGCACTGAATGAACACTCTGCCTCATCCAGACTTTTAAGGGGGAAGTTGAAGGGAATTCCTTCTGGGGCCAACCTTTAGTTAAGACCCTTGGGATACCATGGTGCAAAGTAAGCTAGCTACCTTTTTTCTAGAGAATGAATAAGGGTTTATCTTCACTTCTTCCCACCCCAGTTAAATTAGGAATAACTGCCAGAATTTCAAGGACTGGCAGAATATTTATATAAAAAACAGACCAATCAGATGTGTGGCTAATGCTCTGCTGCCTAATGATAGGCTGGAGGCATAGAATCTTCTGGAAGTGGCATGGAAGGAGGAGTGAGTGGGATTTCTAACTGAAGCAGGAGTAACAAAATGGCTCCTTTTCACAAGATGGTGGAAACTAACTGCTCAAATAGCACCGAGAAATCCTTTTTTTGATAGATAATTCCAGCTCTTGAAATTTGTATTCTAATTGGCTCTAGTGCACGTATGCAGATATCCTCGCTTAATGACCGTCGCTTAGCAACTGTTTGAAGTTATCATCTGGACCTCCCCAGAGCTACTTACAGCCTGGTTCTGGAGTTCCAATGGCTGTGCACGCATACACACACTCTCTCCCTCCCTCTCTCTCTTTCTCTCTCTCTCTCTCTCCTGTAATCACATTTACATCCGTTTGCAGAGTCCTACACTCATGTAACTGTAATTTTTGGCATTTTTATTTCTGGTTTCTGGCAAAAAAAAAAAAAAGCCCATTGAAGAAAATGGATTCATTTAATGACTGCAGCATTCTCTTAATGACTTCTGAAAAAATGTTGTACAATCAGGCATAGTCATATCTGCTTAACGACTCCCAGAGTTTACAACTGTAATTTCAGGCTCAAGATCATAAATCAAGGACTATTTATATATACTGCTGCAGCATACTGTTATGTATATCGGTTTTGGCGGGAAGTTTGAATTAAATAGCCATCAGCTGATTGGCTGACCACCACAGCTGCAAGGTATATAAGGGGAGCTGTTTCCCCAGGTCAGTTGCTGGGTTCTCACCCTACAATAAAGAGCTGTTGTCACTCACTGCCTGGCTTGCTGTGTCCTCATTCACCCAATTTAACATTGGCAACGAGGATGGGATTTTGAGGCCAGAAGCCACGGAAAGAGCTGAAGCCATGAGCCGACAAGAGAGCTGCAAACCTGAATCCAGCCAGGCAAGCGAGCGGAGTACCTGGAGAATCTACCAACGATATCTGCCTACGTACCGCCAGCGCCTTTCAACCCAACGGAAGAGAAGTGGGGATCCTATATGTCCCGCTTCGAATGCTTCCTGGTGGCCAGCGATCTACAGGGGCTACCCGGCGTGCGGAAGAAAGCCCTGTTCCTGAGCCATTGTGGACCCAAGGTGTTCGACATGGCCGAAGCCCTGTTGGAACCGAACTCGGTCCACACCATCTCGTGGCAAATGCTCCAGACGCTGCTGAAGGACAGCAGCAACAACGCCCCGATGCCATCGAAGTATGTCCAGCGGTACGAGTTCCGGCAACACGTACAGCAGGAAGGGGAATCGATCAGCGAGTACATCGCTGCCCTGCGCAAGGCTGCAAACCAGTGCGAGTACAGAGACTTAAATGAGATGCTCTTAGAGCAACTAATCTGCAAAGTGAGAGATATTTGCTTGTAGAGGAGATTGCTCGCAAAGACGAATCTAACGTTACATATGGCACTAGATGAGGCAAGGGCTCAAGAATCCTCTACCAAAGCAGCCGAGAGACTACAGGGGACGACACCGGTCAGAATGGCACAGAGGTCAGCACTGGTTCATCAAGAGACCGTAGGCACTGAGAGCGAGGCGGAGTCAGATGAAGAGGTCTGCAGAACTGAACAGGACCGGCAGGACCGGCGGGGTCACCGAGACGCTTGTGCCAGCTGTGGGGGACCCCATCCGCGCCAGACCTGCAAGTTCCGAGACACCATTTGCCGGCAATTCGATCGGAAGGGTCATATTGCTAGAGTCTGTAGATCCAAGCAGACTCCCAACTACAAGCCATCCGGCGCAGCGGAAGAAGACCAATCAGAAGGGTGGCCATCAGAAGGGTGGCACGAAATCCGAGGACCTTGAAGCCTGCACCATTCAAATCGGCTGGACCTGCACATCCCCCAGGGAGAAGACCTACATGATGGTCGAAATCGAGGGGCATGAGTGCGTTATGGAGATCGACACCGGATCTCCAATAACCATCATATCCTGGGACAAGCTACGGAAGACCGTCCCCAGTGTCCAGAAACGGCACCTACGGCACCAGCGGCTTGGACTGCGCAATTACCAGGGGAACCGCATCCCAGTGGAAAGAATCGGCGAGTTCCAAGTGGAGTACGGGGAATTCCGGGAGAAGCTTCCCCTCACCGTAGTCAGCGGAAAGCTCCCAAGCCTCCTGGGCATGGACTGGTTCATGGCCCTGGGCATGGGATTCACCGGAGTCCGCAACGTGCGAAGCACCCTGAAGGACAACCTGATGCAGGAGTTCCGGGACGTGTTCGATGAGCGACTTGGCAAGTATGTGGGGACCCCTATTTCATTCAACCTTGACCCCAATATTGCCCCCATCTGGTTGAAGCCCAGGAGGGTACCATTCGCCCTCAAGCCCAAGATAGATGTGGAACTGGACAAGTTGATTAAGCAAGGGGTGCTAGTGCCAGTCAATCATGCCCGGTGGGAGATCCCAGTAGTGACCCGCATTAAGCCTGACGGGTCTGTGCGCATCTGCGCGGACTATAAGTGTATGATCAATAAGGCTCTCCAACAGAGCGCTTACCCGGTTCCGATTGTACACCATCTGCTGCATTCCCTGGGGCCCGGCAAGATATTCACGAAACTCAATCTGGCACAGGCGTATCAGCAATTGCGTATAGATGGTGCTACCGCAGAGGCACAGACTATAGTTTCGCATAGAGGTGACTTTAAGTGTACCCGGCTCCAATTCGGAGTCAGCATAGCTCCCAGACTGTTCCAGAGCACCATGGAGAGACTGTTACAGGGGATCCCCAGGGTGGTCCCATATTTTGATGACGTTCTCATCACCGCAGAAGACGAGCAACAGCTAGGGGAGAGACTTAGACAAGTCTTAGGGAAGTTCAGAAGTGCCGGACTCAGGGTCAAACGCAATAAGTGCATGATCGCAGTCCCTTCTGTGGAATTCTTGGGGTATCAGGTAGATGGAACTGGCATACACCCCACCGAGAGCAAGATTAGGGCGATCCAAGAGGCCCCCACCCCCAAAGACAAGGCGGAACTACAAGTGTTCCTGGGACTGTTGAATTTCTACGCCATTTTTCTAAAGGACAAGGCAACAGTAGCAGAGCCCCTGCACAGACTGTTGGCCAAGAAGTCCACATGGATTTGGGGGAAAGCTGAGGCTACCGCGTTTGCAGCCGTAAAGAAACTTCTGTCGGCTACGAGTTTTCTAATCCAGTACAACTCTACGCTTCCCCTTGTTCTAGTTTGTGATGCATCCCCATTCGGCATGGGGGCCGCCCTGAGCCATAGACTACCGAATGGTCTAGAGGCACCCATCACCTACTACTCCCGGACTCTTTCAAGCGCCAAAAGGAACTACAGTCAACTTGACAAGGAGGCCCTGGCAGCAGTCTCAGGAGTCAAGAAGTTCCACGAATACTTGTTTGGCAGAGACTTCGACCTCACCACAGACAATCGCCCCCTCCTGGGTGTCATAGCAGGGGACCGACCCACACCAGCAGCCCTGTCTCCCAGGATGACACACTGGGCCATCTTCCTGGCAGCATACTCATATCGCTTGGTACATCGACCAAGGGTGAGCATGGGCAATGCTGACGCCCTCAGCTGTTGCCCATTACTGGACAAAATAGAGGCCCCACACCCGGAGTCCCAGTCCTGCTGATTGACGTCTTGGACTCGGGACCCATCACTTCAGCAGAGGTGGCGAGGGCTTCTACCAAAGACCACATGATTTGTAAAGTCACGAGTTGGGTCACGAGGGGGTGGCCGGAAAAGACTGAGGGCGGGGAATTCAAACACCGCTAACAAAAGAGGCGAGCTGACAATGCAAGGGGGTTGTCTATTGTGGGGTGATCGGGTCATTGTCCCTTTGTGCCTAAGGGAGAAAGTGTTGAATCTGTTGCATGAGGAGCACCCTGGGATCGTAAGGATGAAGGGGTTAGCTAGGAGCTACATCTGGTGGCCTCTCATGGATAAGGACATCACTGACTGGGTGGGGAAGTGTCAGCCCTGCCAAGAGTCTAGGCCAGACCCCCCGACAGCACTGGTAAGGGAGTGGGAGTGGCCTCAGGGTCCCTGGTCTAGGATCCACATAGATTTTGCTGGCCCATTCCATAGGCAGGTATTTATGGTCATCGTGGACGCCTTCTCAAAGTGGCTGGAGATTAGACTTAGGAAAGCCACTACCACCGACGCAGTCATTAGGGAGCTAAGGCAGTTGTTTGCCACCCACGGCCTACTGGACACCTTAGTTTCAGACAACGGGCCCCAGTTCACAGCCACGCAGTTTGAGGGGTACTTGGCGGAGTTGGGATCAGACACATACTCTCCACCCCGTTTCATCCGGCTAGCAATGGATTGGCAGAGAGATTTGTGAGAGCGGCTAAGGAAGCCATCTCACGCCTAGGCCCCGGGGACTGGCAGAAAAGAATAGACAAATTCTTAACGGCCCAACACGCCACACCATGCACCGCCACAGGCTGGAGCCCGGCAGAACTTCTAATGGGGAGAAAGCTCTGAGGAGTCCTAGACAGGCTACACCCCAGCTATTTCCCTGACAACTTCAGAGGGGCAGAGGAAGCTTAGGGGGTTCACAATAGGGATGCCAGTCTTCGCAAGAAATTACGGGAACGGGCCCCTCTGGGAAATTGGGATAATTACGGAGGTAACTGGGCCCAAGTCTTATCGGGTAGACATGGGAGATGGGAGGATTTGGCACCGGCACATTGATCAGTTACGGAAGCGTTTAACCGCCGACACAGAAGACATCTTCGATGAACCGCTCCCTAGCTACCAATAGAACACCAGAACTAACTCAAGCCCGAGTCAGTTGGAGGACTTAGCTGTCGGCCCCGAGATCCAGCACCACCCTATCGCGAAAGATCGACCAGCCGAAGAAGTCGCTGCCTACAATGAATTCTCGGAGGTTCCATTGGCGGAGCAGGGAGTTCCTCCGACCCGCTCGACGCCACACCTCTGACTGCACTGCGCAGATCAACTAGGGTGCGGACACACCCTGGTCATCTGAGGGACTATGTATGTTAATGTCCACCCCAAATGACTTCTGGG